ATGATGAAGTTTAACCAGGCCCAGCAGGAACCAGAAGAGGATATTGCTGATTGGGCAGATAGGGCCCACCACTTGGCTCATCGGGCTTACAAACATTTGCCACGGTGGGAAGTGGAACAAATCGCAGTAATGAGATTTGGCCAGGGATTACAGGATAAGAGTCTGGCAGGATACATTTCCAATGCAAGGAACTCCTCCATGGAGGAGGCTATCGATCGGGCCCAAACCTTCCAGCACAATGCCATAGCGATCCACGGTTCCTCAGGTTCCAAAGGATACGACTCCCATCACCGAGTGCCCCAAGGTCCAGCAGTGCGAGTGAATGCAGTGGGAAGGTACTCCCAGTATGAGCGGCCACCCAGGAGTAATGACGCTTCTCGGCGCTCGACACTCGCCCTCCCCAGCTCCCCAGGCACGTCACCGGCTACCAGCTCTTCAGGTTTTGGAATCAACAGTTGCCGACCATCGAGTGCGGGCTCGCATCCTTTATCTTCCAGGGGCGTGGAGGCGAAGTTGGACACCTTGGTAGCAGGCATCTCAGAGACCAACGGGAGATTGGACCAGGTGTGTGAGAGTTTGAGGCACCTTACAGTTGCTCTTATGTCACCACAGCATCGCCGTAGCCCATCCCCTAGGCGACCTGTTCAGTGCTACAGGTGTGGGAAAGAGGGTCATTTTGCTCGGGACTGTGAGGAATCCGAAAGGGATGAGGAAGCAGTCCGCCAGCACGGGGACACCTCGGGCAACAAGCCACATGTTTCATTTAAGGACCAGAATTCGTCTTTAAACGCTGCCGGGTCGGCTCATTCGGTCTAATTCCGACCCAGTGCATAACAGGCCAAGGAGGGGCATCGGAGCAAGATGCTGACCAGATATTGTCTAGAGGTGTGGAAGACATCTCGGCTCACACTGACAGGGGGGACATGGACATTAGCACATCAGACACATACAACCAACAGAGTTTGGTTATGCTAAGTGAGAACTCGTCAAGTGAGGCTCCTTCAGGAATCCAATGCAGGACAAAAGTGGCAATTCGGGACCATGCCACTACTGAACAAACAGGTCTGGATCAGGAAGCAAAGCAAAATTCTCACAGGAAGTGGGGCCCGTTAAGACACAATGTGGAAAGGAGGGCTCAGAAGAAAATAAAGAATGAACTAGCATTTGGTCAGTTCTTGGAAGGCATAGATCCAATTGCTTTCCCTTGGGATCCTGGGGGTGAGATGTGGGAAGAGGGTTGCTCTGTCAAAGGACTCACATTCAAGGAGCAGCGCTTCGGTGCGAGGAATATTGTTAGGACAGAGTAAATTCCTAAGAGTGAAGCTGAAAAGAAAAAAAAAAAAAAAAAAAGGAAAGGGAATAGTGTAGTGTATGCAATGTTGAAACAGTTCGTGTATAGTGCAAAGATAATACGGGTAATAATTGTAATAGGACCCATTCATGAAACCAGACTTTTTTACAAAAAAGACATGTTGTATATAGTGAAACGTTTTCCCTCCAACATACCCATTGTTCTATAGGGACGGGAGGAGTGTAGAGGGAACCACATTCAAAGTGCCCGCCAAGGAGACATTTTACAGTATAGGCAGGGCTGTGCCCTGATTGGTGGACGACGACGGCGCACGGCCTACCCGCGCGGCAGCCCGCGCAGGCCGAGTGGGGCAGATTTGAACTGCATGTGACCCAACGCGGACGACGCCTGCCCGGCACCACTGGCACTTAGGATATGTGCCCATAGGACCCCTAAGAGGCATTGATTCCCTCTGTCCTACCCTTCCTGAGGAGCCTAGACTTGCTCCACCTACCCTACCAGCCCTTCCTCTCCCTACGACGACAGTTCCAGGTGAATTACTGTACTATTGTTGTAACACGTGGGTCACCTCTACACCAGTCTTGCTCTTTCTATCTGCTTGTCTTTTCTTTATTTGGACTTCACCTGGCGGGTTCTTGATATCCTACATAACAGTGACCATTTCCACATTCTTGATACCTTTTTTGACGCCCTTCCTTCTCTTTACTTAGGTTTTACTTTCCCAGGGCTGACTGGAACCTCTTCACCTTGCGTGCTACTCTTTCAGACCTCTCTGATCTGCCTCTCCCCTGAGCCCTCTTCCTCTTTCATGACACTGTTTTTTATGCTGCCCTCTGTTTTGTTCCTCGCTCTACCTCCAGGGGCGTGCGGAAGTGCGTTCCCTGGTGGAATGCAGACTGTGCTCGGGCTGTCCGCTGTAAGCATGAAGCCTGAACGAAACACCATCGCCGTACGACTCCCTTTTCTTTTCTTTTGTTTCGAAGGGCAAGTGCAATGGCCCGTTGAGTCATCCATAAGGCTAAACGTGAGGGTTTGGCGATCTTTCGTTTCCACCATTACGTCAGACACTCCTCTGCCCCTGATCTGGAAGAAAATCCGCAAGATAGCGGGTAAGCTTGTTCCAGATGTCTCGCCAGTCCTTCACATCCATGGTTCTGTTGTGGCGGATCCATTGCCGGTCGCGACCGAATTCGGTTTTCACTTCTCAACTCTTAGCTCCTTCTCTCATATTCCTCCTTCTTTCCTTACTCGTTAGCCTCTTCTTGAACCTTCTTCCTTAGGTTTGAGGACTTCTCTTCAGCTTCCCTATAACGATCCTTTCTTTCTCTCTCTCTCTCAGAACTCCTGTCTGCCCTGGCCCTCTGCGGTTCTGTGGCGAGGGGCTCTGATGATATTCATTATGAGATATTTCGCCATCTCCCTCCATGCACGTGTCAGTTTTTACTGAGTGTTTATGACCATGTCTGGGCGTCGTCGTCAGTCCCTGAGGACTGGCTTGAGGCGGTAGTTCTTCCTATTCGGAAACCTGGTTCTCTTGGGTCATCCCCTAAAGACTTCCGCCCCATTGCTTTCACGAGTTGCGTCTGCAAACTCTTTGAGCGTATGGTCAATGTCCGTCTGATGTGGTGCTTGGAACACTATCACCTCCTATTCCCTTCTCAATTTAGCTTTCGCAAGTGTCGCAGCATGACTGATGTCCTCGTGAACTTGGAGGTCTATATTCGTGCTGCCTTTGTTGCGAAGACCTCTGTTGTTGCTGTCGTTTTTGACCTGGAAAAGGCGTATGACACCACCTGGCGATACCATATTCTGTCCCAACTCTATTCTCTTGGTCGTCGTGGTAATCTCCCTCTCTTTCTCCAGAGCTTCCTCTCTCATCGTTTCTTTCGAGTGACAAGTATCAAGAAGTGTCATAATGTAGCCCGGGCTAGAGCCTGAGACAGTTGTCACGAAGTGTCATAATGTATCCCGGGCTGGTGTCTGACACAGGTGTCATGTGACAGAGTAGACCGGGCTGGTGCCTGACACAAGTGTCACGAAGTGTCATAATGTAGCCCGTTCTGGTGCATGAAACAGGTGTCAGGAAGTGTCATAAAGCAGGCCGGGTTGGTGCCTGACACCGGTGTCAGGTGTCATAAAGCAGCCCGGGTTGGTGCCTGACACAGGTGTCAGGAGGTGTCATACAGCAGCCCGGGCTGGTGCCTGACACAGGTGTCAGGAGGTGTCATACAGCAGCCCGGGCTGGTGCATGACACAGGTGTCAGGAGGTGTCATACAGCAGCCCGGGTTGGTGCCTGACACAGGTGTCAGGAGGTGTCATACAGCAGCCCGGGCTGGTGCATGACACAGGTGTCAGGAGGTGTCATACAGCAGCCCGGGCTGGTGCCTGACACAGGTGTCAGGAGGTGTCATACAGCAGCCCGGGCTGGTGCCTGACACAGGTGTCAGGAGGTGTCATACAGCAGCCCGGGCTGGTGCCTGACACAGGTGTCAGGAGGTGTCATACAGCCGCCCGGGCTGGTGCCTGACACAGGTGTCATACAGCAGCCCGGGCTGGTGCCTGACACAGGTGTCAGGAGGTGTCATACAGCCGCCCGGGCTGGTGCCTGACACAGGTGTCATACAGCAGCCCGGGCTGGTGCCTGACACAGGTGTCAGGAGGTGTCATACAGCCGCCCGGGCTGGTGCCTGACACAGGTGTCATACAGCAGCCCGGGCTGGTGCCTGACACAGGTGTCAGGAGGTGTCATACAGCAGCCCGGGCTGGTGCCTGACACAGGTGTCATACAGCAGCCCGGGCTGGTGCCTGACACAGGTGTCAGGTGTCATACAGCAGCCCGGGCTGGTGCCTGACACAGGTATCATACAGCAGCCCGGGCTGGTGCCTGACACAGGTGTCAGGAGGTGTCATACAGCAGCCCGGGCTGGTGCCTGACACAGGTGTCAGGAGGTGTCATACAGCAGCCCGGGCTGGTGCCTGACACAGGTGTCAGGAGGTGTCATACAGCAGCCCGGGCTGGTGCCTGACACAGGTGTCAGGAGGTGTCATACAGCAGCCCGGGCTGGTGCCTGACACAGGTGTCAGGAGGTGTCATACAGCAGCCCGGGCTGGTGCCTGACACAGGTGTCAGGAGGTGTCATACAGCAGCCCGGGCTGGTGCCTGACACAGGTGTCAGGAGGTGTCATACAGCAGCCCGGGCTGGTGCCTGACACAGGTGTCAGGAGGTGTCATACAGCAGCCCGGGCTGGTGCCTGACACAAGTGTCAGGAGGTGTCATACAGCAGCCCGGGCTGGTGCCTGACACAAGTGTCAGGAGGTGTCATACAGCAGCCCGGGCTGGTGCCTGACACAAGTGTCAGGAGGTGTCATACAGCAGCCCGGGCTGGTGCCTGACACAGGTGTCAGGAGGTGTCATACAGCAGCCCGGGCTGGTGCCTGACACAAGTGTTAGGAGGTGTCATACAGCAGCCCGGGCTGGTGCCTGACACAAGTGTCAGGAGGTGTCATACAGCAGCCCGGGCTGGTGCCTGACACAGGTGTCATACAGCAGCCCGGGCTGGTGCCTGACACAGGTGTCAGGAGGTGTCATACAGCAGCCCGGGCTGGTGCCTGACACAGGTGTCAGGAGGTGTCATAAAGCTTGCTGGTTATAATGTGTGTGGTGTTCTCGGGGGCGGCGCCGGCAGAGGACATCAACGTGTGGATGTTTGCCATGGTGGCCGTCGGGAGCGCCTTCCTCGTCTTCGTCGCTATCTCCATGTACCTCCTGTGGTGAGTGGCCCCTTACTCCCTGTAGCTGTGGGCCCCTCCTGTGGTAAGTGTTCCCTTACTCCCTGTAGCTGTGGGCCCCTCCTGTGGTGAGTGTTCCCGTACTCCATGTAGCTGTGGGCCCCTCCTGTGGTGAGTGTTCCCGTACTCCCTGTAGCTGTGGGCCCCTCCTGTGGTGAGTGTTCCCGTACTCCCTGTAGCTTTGGGCACCTCCTGTGGTGAGTGTTCCTCTTACTCCCTGTAGCTGTGGGCCCCTCCTGTGGTAAGTGTCCCCGTACTCCCTGTAGCTGTGGGCCCCTCCTGTGGTGAGTGTTCCCGTACTCCCTGTAGCTGTGGGCCCCTCCTGTGGTAAGTGTCCCCGTACTCCTTGTAGCTGTGGGCCCCTCCTGTGGTAAGTGTTCCCGTACTCCCTGTAGCTGTGGGCCCCTCCTGTGGTAAGTGTTCCCGTACTCCTTGTAGCTGTGGGCCCCTCCTGTGGTGAGTGTTCCTCTTACTCCCTGTAGCTGTGGGCCCCTCCTGTGGTAAGTGTCCCCTTACTCCCTGTAGCTGTGGGCCCCTCCTGTGGTAAGTGTTCCCGTACTCCCTGTAGCTGTGGGCCCCTCCTGTGGTAAGTGTTCCCGTACTCCTTGTAGCTGTGGGCCCCTCCTGTGGTGAGTGTTCCTCTTACTCCCTGTAGCTGTGGGCCCCTCCTGTGGTAAGTGTCCCCGTACTCCCTGTAGCTGTGGGCCCCTCCTGTGGTAAGTATTCCCGTACTCCCTGTAGCTGTGGGCCCCTCCTGTGGTAAGTGTTCCCGTACTCCTTGTAGCTGTGGGCCTCTCCTGTGGTGAGTGTTCCTCTTACTCCCTGTAGCTGTGGGCCCCTCCTGAGGTGAGTGTCCCCGTACTCCCTGTAGCCGTGGGCCCCTCCTGTAGTGAGTGTTCCTCTTACTCCCTGTAGCTGTGGGCCCCTCCTGTGGTGAGTGTCCCCGTACTCCCTGTAGCTGTGGGCCCCTCCTGTGGTAAGTGTTCCCGTACTCCCTGTAGCTGTGGGCCCCTCCTGTGGTGAGTGTTCCTCTTACTCCCTGTAGCTGTGGGCCCTTCCTGTGGTGAGTGTCCCCGTACTCCCTGTAGCTGTGGGCCCCTCCTGTGGTGAGTGCTCCCCTTACTCCCTGTAACTGTGGGCCCCTCCTGTGGTGAGTGTTCCCTTACTCCCTGTAGCTGTGGGCCCCTCCTGTGGTGAGTGTTCCCGTACTCCCTGTAGCTGTGGGCCCCTCCTGTGGTGAGTGTCCCCGTACTCCCTGTAGCTGTGGGCCCCTCCTGTGGTGAGTGTCCCCGTACTCCCTGTAGCTGTGGGCCCCTCCTGTGGTGAGTGTCCCCGTACTCCCTGTAGCTGTGGGCCCCTCCTGTGGTGAGTGTCCCCGTACTCCCTGTAGCTGTGGGCCCCTCCTGTGGTGAGTGTTCCTCTTACTCCCTGTAGCTGTGGGCCCCTCCTGTGGTGAGTGTTCCTCTTACTCCCAGTAGCTGTGGGCCCCTCCTGTGGTAAGTGTCCCCGTACTCCCTGTAGCTGTGGGCCCCTCCTGTGGTGAGTGTTCCCCTTACTCCCTGTAGCTGTGGGCCCCTCCTGTGGTGAGTGTTCCCCTTACTCCCTGTAGCTGTGGGCCCCTCCTGTGGTGAGTGTTCCTCCTACTCCCTGTAGCTGTGGGCCCCTCCTGTGGTGAGTGTTCCTCTTACTCCCTGTAGCTGTGGGCCCCTCCTGTGGTGAGTGTCCCCGTACTCCCTGTAGCTGTGGGCCCCTCCTGTGGTGAGTGTTCCTCTTACTCCCAGTAGCTGTGGGCCCCTCCTGTGGCGAGTGTTCCTCTTACTCCCAGTAGCTGTGGGCCCCTCCTGTGGTAAGTGTCCCCGTACTCCCTGTAGCTGTGGGCCCCTCCTGTGGTGAGTGTTCCCTTACTCCCTGAAGCTGTGGGCCCCTCCTGTGGTGAGTGTTCCCGTACTCCCTGTAGCTGTGGGCCCCTCCTGTGGTGAGTGTTCCTCTTACTCCCTGTAGCTGTGGGCCCCTCCTGTGGTGAGTGTTCCTCTTACTCCCTGTAGCTGTGGGCCCCTCCTGTGGTAAGTGTCCCGGTACTCCCTGTAGCTGTGGGCCCCTCCTGTGGTGAGTGTTCCTCTTACTCCCTGTAGCTGTGGGCCCCTCCTGTGGCGAGTGTTCCTCTTACTCCCAGTAGCTGTGGGCCCCTCCTGTGGTAAGTGTCCCCGTACTCCCTGTAGCTGTGGGCCCCTCCTGTGGTGAGTGTTCCCTTACTCCCTGAAGCTGTGGGCCCCTCCTGTGGTGAGTGTTCCCGTACTCCCTGTAGCTGTGGGCCCCTCCTGTGGTGAGTGTTCCCCTTACTCCCTGTAGCTGTGGGCCCCTCCTGTGGTAAGTGTCCCCGTACTCCCTGTAGCTGTGGGCCCCTCCTGTGGTGAGTGTTCCCCTTACTCCCTGTAGCTGTGGGCCCCTCCTGTGGTGAGTGTTCCTCTTACTCCCTGTAGCTGTGGGCCCCTCCTGTGGTGAGTGTTCCTCTTACTCCCTGTAGCTGTGGGCCCCTCCTGTGGTGAGTGTTCCTCTTACTCCCTGTAGCTGTGGGCCCCTCCTGTGGTAAGTGTCCCGGTACTCCCTGTAGCTGTGGGCCCCTCCTGTGGTGAGTGTTCCTCTTACTCCCTGTAGCTGTGGGCCCCTCCTGTGGTGAGTGTTCCTCTTACTCCCTGTAGCTGTGGGCCCCTTTTGTGGTGAGTGTTCCTCCTACTCCCTGTAGCTGTGGGCCCCTCCTGTGGTGAGTGTTCCTCTTACTCCCTGTAGCTGTGGGCCCCTCCTGTGGTGAGTGTTCCTCTTACTCCCTGTAGCTGTGGGCCCCTCCTGTGGTGAGTGTTCCTTTACTCCCTGTAGCTGTGGGCCCCTCCTGTGGTGAGTGTTCCTCTTACTCCCTGTAGCTGTGGGCCCCTCCTGTGGTGAGTGTTCCTCTTACTCCCTGTAGCTGTGGGCCCCTCCTGTGGTGAGTGTTCCTCTTACTCCCTGTAGCTGTGGGCCCCTCCTGTGGTGAGTGTTCCTCTTACTCCCTGTAGCTGTGGGCCCCTCCTGTGGTGAGTGTCCCGGTACTCCCTGTAGCTGTGGGCCCCTCCTGTGGTGAGTGTTCCTCTTACTCCCTGTAGCTGTGGGCCCCTCCTGTGGTGAGTGTTCCTCTTACTCCCTGTAGCTGTGGGCCCCTCCTGTGGTGAGTGTTCCTCTTACTCCCTGTAGCTGTGGGCCCCTCCTGTGGTGAGTGTTCCTCTTACTCCCTGTAGCTGTGGGCCCCTCCTGTGGTGAGTGTTCCTTTACTCCCTGTAGCTGTGGGCCCCTCCTGTGGTGAGTGTTCCCTTACTCCCTGTAGCTGTGGGCCCCTCCTGTGGTGAGTGTCCCCTTACTCCCTGTAGCTGTGGGCCCCTCCTGTGGTGAGTGTCCCCTTACTCCCTGTAGCTGTGGGCCCCTCCTGTGGTGAGTGTTCCTCTTACTCCCTGTAGCTGTGGGCCCCTCCTGTGGTGAGTGTCCCTTACTCCCTGTAGCTGTGGGCCCCTCCTGTGGTGAGTGTTCCTCTTACTCCCTGTAGCTGTGGGCCCCTCCTGTGGTGAGTGTCCGGTACTCCCTGTAGCTGTGGGCCCCTCCTGTGGTGAGTGTTCCTCTTACTCCCTGTAGCTGTGGGCCCCCTCCTGTGGTGAGTGTTCCTCTTACTCCCTGTAGCTGTGGGCCCCTCCTGTGGTGAGTGTTCCTCTTACTCCCTGTAGCTGTGGGCCCCTCCTGTGGTGAGTGTTCCCCTTACTCCCTGTAGCTGTGGGCCCCTCCGTGGTGAGTGTTCCCCTTACTCCCTGTAGCTGTGGGCCCCTCCTGTGGTGAGTGTTTCCCTTACTCTCTGTAGCTGTGGGCCCCTCCTGTGGTAAGTGTCCCTGTACTCCCTGTAGCTGTGGGCCCCTCCTGTGGTGAGTGTTCCCCTTACTCCCTGTAGCTGTGGACCCCCTCCTGTGGTAAGTGTCCCCGTACTCCCTGTAGCTGTGGGCCCCTCCTGTGGTGAGTGTTCCTCTTACTCCCTGTAGCTGTGGGCCCCTCCTGTGGTAAGTGTCCCCGTATTCCCTGTAGCTGTGGGCCCCTCCTGTGGTGAGTGTTCCTCTTACTCCCTGCAGCTGTGGGCCCCTCCTGTGGTAAGTGTCCCCGTACTCCCTGTAGCTGTGGGCCCCTCCTGTGGTGAGTGTTCCCCTTACTCCCTGTAGCTGTGGGCCCCTCCTGTGGTAAGTTTCCCCATACTCCCTGTAGCTGTGGGCCCCTCCTGTGGTGAGTGTTCCTCTTACTCCCTGTAGCTGTGGGCCCCTCCTGTGGTGAGTGTTCCCCTTACTCCCTGTAGCTGTGGGCCCCTCCTGTGGTAAGTGTCCCCGTACTCCCTGTAGCTGTGGGCCCCTCCTGTGGTGAGTGTTCCTCTTACTCCCTGTAGCCGTGGGCCACTCCTGTGGTGAGTAAGTTCCCCTTACTCCCTGTAGCTGTGGGCCCCTCCTGTGGTGAGTGTTCCCCTTACTCCCTGTAGCTGTGGGCCCCTCCTGTGGTGAGTGTCCCCTTACTCCCTGTAGCTGTGGGCCCCTCCTGTGGTGAGGTTCCCTTACTCCCTGTAGCTGTGGGCCCCTCCTGTGGTGAGTGTTCCCTTACTCCCTGTAGCTGTGGGCCCCTCCTGTGGTGAGTGTTCCCCTTACTCCCTGTAGCTGTGGGCCCCTCCTGTGGTGAGTGTTCCCCTTACTCCCTGTAGCTGTGGGCCCCTCCTGTGGTGAGTGTTCCCCTTACTCCCTGTAGCTGTGGGCCCCTCCTGTGGTGAGTGTTCCCCTTACTCCCTGTAGCTGTGGGCCCCTCCTGTGGTGAGTGTTCCCCTTACTCCCTGTAGCTGTGGGCCCCTCCTGTGGTGAGTGTTCCCTTACTCCCTGTAGCTGTGGGCCCCTCCTGTGGTGAGTGTTCCCCTTACTCCCTGTAGCTGTGGGCCCCTC